CCACCCGCCACGCTCCACCAATGCGCGTGGGTAGGACGAGGGCGCGAGAGCATTGGTCGCGCACCCCCAAGCCGAGCAGGGCCTCGCACGAGAAGCCCTGGCTTCTGCGGGATGCTTGTACGCCTTCCACGGGTGCGCCCACCGCGGATAAGGCGAGACCAGACCTGCGTGCAACGCCGCGCGCCGCGCCATGCGCGCGAGCAGGAACGCTACGTGCCTTGGGGCGGGCCGCGCGCGAATGGCCCTCTCTTCATAGAAATGTAACCGCAGGCGAATGCGTCAAAATGCCTCAGCGCGAGGCCGGCGCGCTGCGCCAGGCAGGAAAGCCACGCAGGTCACGGGCACCGCCGGCGTCATCTGCAGCAGCGCCTGCCGCGCGCGCGGCCGCGGAGCGAACGGCGCCACCGCGCAAACATTGCGAGGGCGCCGCGAATCGGGGGCGTCAAGCGCTCCCTTACTTCTTGGCCCATTTCGCGGGCTGGGGCGGCGTGCGCGGCGCGTTCGGCGCCGGCCTCTTCGAGCTGCCCCACGCGCCCGTCTTCCACGTAGATCGGCCCCAGCCGCCGCTGTGCCAGGACGCACCGGAATGCGAATAGCGCGTCTCCGCCGCGCCCTTGTTCGGCGCGGCGCGGCCACTGCCGCGGCCGTTGCCCGCGGGCGTGGCCTGGGCGGCCTGCCCCTGCGCCGGCGCGCGCGGGCGACCTTGGCTGCGCGGTCGATCTCGTTCTCGGCAGACCGCAGGGACAACGCGTCGAGCCCTTTCGAGGCCTCCTCAATATTGAACTTCTCGACGCCGCTCTGTCTCGAGCGCTCGGCCCAGCTCTTGCGGACGATTTCGTCGCACAGGAGCCCAAGCCCCGCCTTGCGGCCCGCGAGCGGAGCTTCCAAGGCCACCTCGCGAAAGGCAACGGGTGCGCGCGCCGCTGCGCGCGCGCGCTGGCACGTCGCGGACCTGGGGCACAAATCGCTTATGCTCCGAGCAGCGTGCGTAAGATAGCTGCTTAGTGGCAGCAGCCGCAATCGCCCATGCGTCGTAGGCGAGGTGAAACTCGGCCCACGACAACGCGCGCTGACCTTTACTGCCGCACTCAGCCGTCACTCCGTTGGCGTCTGCGTCGTCGACCCCGCGGGCGCTCGCGGCCCAGGTCGGGAGAAAGCCGCGCAAATCAGTGTCAACGAAAGGATTCGCGCAGCCCTTCTTTCTCGCGCGTACGACCTCGGCAGCCATCCAATCACATTTCTCGCTCCTGTGCAAGGCAGCGACCGCTGTCACCGCCGCTGGCGCGCTCACGTGAGGGCGCGCCTCGGCCAGATCGTCTGGCCGAGGCCGTTCAACGTAATCGTCGCCAACTCAGCGCCCACGTCTACGTGGTGTACGGGGGCGGCCATTTCCACATTGGCCTCCGCCCCGATGCGAGCGTGCAGACCAGGGGGGCTCGCCGGGCGCGCTCGCTCACGCTACCTGCTTACCCGCAGTTGTGGCGCGCTCCAGTGCGCGGCGGAGCACGCCTTTCACGCCCGCTGGCAGGCCCTCCGAGCCTGACAGCTCCTCTAGCCGAATGTTCGCCAGCTGTGCCGGCGTCAGCAGCTTATTAGCGCCTAGGCAGTCAATCGAAGCCTTGTATTCGATGTCCGACCATTCTGCCCCGAACACGGGGTCTTGGCGCAGAAAGCTCAGCAGCGGTCCGTCCGCCATCACGAACAAAGCAGCCAGAAAACACCAGCGTCGCACTGCTCGCACACGCGGGGAACACGCGGCGGGCCGACTGCAACGCAGCGCACTCAACACGCGCACAGAAAGACGGCGACGCCGGTAGCAACACGAGCGAGGTGCCTGCAGATACCTGGTCCGCCGCTTCGCAGACGCAAAACGAACGCGCGCACCCCGAACGCGGAAGGAACGGCGGCGCCGGGAACGCAACGCGAGATGCCTGCGGAAACCTGGTCCGCTTATGGCCGTGAGCGCGGGTCACGCGTCTTACCGAGCGGGCAGGCGCTGGCCAGCTGGTCGATCCTCGCGCTTCGTACGCACGGCCCAAGCGGCACCGTGGCCGTCAGCTCCATCGAGGGGCTGCCTGAGGGCCCTGCGGCAGATGTGCGCCTCCGTGGCGACGATGTGCTGCGATCGCGCTGGGGGGCTGGATGCTCCCGCCGCCCGCGCACGCGACAGTAAGAACACACAGAAGGGCCCATGTGACACGTCTCGCGACATGAGGCGGGCTGCGTTGACGGCACCTCGTCGTCATACGACATCGCTACACGGCGTACTTAGTAGCCCGCGCAGCGACCCTCATGCGGCCTCCAGTTGCGGGGGGGAGCGCGCAAATCCACACTGGGACGACACGCACGGCACGAGTGCGCGCGTTTGTTAAAAACGTTGTGGTCGCGCGCGCCGCCCTAGGCGCCCGCGACCCGCGCTGGCGGGCGCACTCGCAGCTTTACCAGGCGGAAGTGCGCTTCATCGCCGCTGTCTGGATTGTCCATTAGACGGTAGCGTATCACGGGCGCAGAGACGATCTGGGGCTTAGCGTAGCCCATTATGACACGGCAGACGTCGCGCGGCAAACGCGGTGCGCATTGGGCCAGGGCGAAGCGCAGCTCAGCCCGCACCTGCTCCAGCCTTACTAACCGAGGGCCGACTGCTCCGAGTCGGACTGGCGACCAGCAGCTCTCGTTGGCAGGTGGTGTTGGCATTGCTAGGGGCGGGCCCCTTGGCGCTCGCCCCTGCAGCCTGGGGCCCGCCCCCTTAACCGGCAGGTAGCGAAGCCGCTCGCGCGCCTGCGACAACACCGTGTCTGCGTACGCGACCCGCGCGCGGGATGCGGTGCGCACCAAGGGGCCCCTTTCTGTTCTCGCCTCGAACGGCACGAGCGCCGCCTGCGTAGCCTGCTCCGCCATCGCAAGCAAGCAGAAGCCGCTGACTTCGCCCGACATTCGGAGCCGCTGCGAACCTGCGGCAGCCAGAGCAAAAACCGTCGACCGACGGCGGGGGTTCACTGCCTTTGCGCTGCGAGTCTGGCGCGCTGCGAGTCTCGCGCTCGACTGCGCACTGGGAATGCGAAAGAAACGTTTGCAACGATTGGCCACTATGGGCCTCCAAGCGAGACGCGCGGGTCTGCTGGCAATCAGGCAAGCCGCAACGGCCGCCCCATCGAAGATTGGCCGCTCTAGGGCCGCCAGACATGCGGGCTGGCATCGGCTGCCCTGCTACTGAATGGCCACTCTGGGCCGCCAGACGAGGGTCGCTCTGGACCCGCGAGGGGGAACCCTATGGGTACGTTGGTCACACTGGGCCGACGTAAGAGGCCACTCTGGGCTTGATAGCAATGCCGTGACCCCTCAGGGCCGTGAAACAGACTCCGCCAGGGTGGAGAAGGAAAAGAAGCGCGACCGCGGTCGCGCCCGACGCACTCTGGCGAACGGACGCCCCGCGCGTCGCCCCCAGGGTTGGTCCAGAGCCGCACGCTGGCAGACAGAGGACCACACCCCGGCCAGCCGCCCCACCTTAAGAGTGCGCAATAGGCAGGAGGGGCGCTGCAGACATGACCGGGCACTTGATATCCCGCCCCGCGGCCAGGCGGCAAAGAGGGGACATCGCGACCGTGCACGGAGGAGCGGAGGGAGGAAGGACCCCGACGCACGGCCGCGCGGCACGCCAGCATGCCCGCGCGGGGCCTGGCCCGCCCGACGTAGCGGCGGCGCGTGGCGGGTGGGCACGCGGGCGCCCGCCATCGCGCGGTGCGCCGACGGCGGGGCACCCCCGCCTGGGGGCGTCGACTTATGACTTGCAATAACAAGTTATTACTGCCCAGTAACAGACAAGGGAACAAACTAATGCAAACAAAGGCACAATCAAACACATGGTTCCTTAAGGGGGTTCACCATCGAGTGTCCTGAAAATCTGTAATCCCAATAGTTTTGCAACATGCGATTTCGAACAAAAGTCTGCGCGCGCTCTCTTGATTCCTCGGACAACCAGAACTGTTCCCATATTTGAATGGCCTCCGGCCAGTGCCGCCGATCCGAGGCGCTCCAGGTGCTGGTGGTTGACACGACGACGCTGGTGACGACGACGACGAGGATGGCGATCTCGACGCCGACAATGGACGACTTACGACCTAACGGGAGGAGGGAGGCGGGAGGCGGAGGGAGAAGGGAGGAGGGAGAAGGGAGGAGGGAGGAGGGAGGAGGATGGGGAGGAGGCGGAGGAGGAGGAGGAGGAGAAGAAGGACGAGGAGGAGGAGATTGATGAGAACGATGATGAGGACGAGGATGAGGACGACAATGATGATGATGATGATGATGATGATGTTGATGTTGATGCTGATGCTGATGCTGATGATGATGATGATGATGCTCATGCTGATGCTGATGATGATGGCAGTGAGGGTAATGCTGATGCTGATGATGATGGTGATGATGCTGATGGTGATGATGATGATGATGATGATGGTCAAGCTGATGCTGATGATGCTGATGATGATGGTGATGATGATGATGATGGTGATGATGATGATGGTGGTGGTGGTGATGATGATTATGATGGTGGTGGTGGTGGTGATAATGACGATGATGATGCTGATGCGGAGAAGGAGGAGGAGGAGCAAGTAATCACCGGACAGCTCGCCCCTTGCCCCCCCGCCAGCCCCGCGCCAAGGGGCGAGCATATATACGGGCGCAGAACCGCGCTGGATGCGTAGCTGCCAGCTGGGCCAACCAAGCGAATGACGCATCGCGTGGCGGCTGGATGCCCGCGCCGAGCACAGCTCTTCTCGGTCCCTCCTTCCTCCTCCTCCACCTCCTCCTCCTCCTCCTCCGTAGCCATTTTGGCTCAAGGCAATGAACCGTCCCGGCGACCGCGAGTCTTTCGGGGCGACTGAGCGCGAGGGAGGTTCCGCTTTGAGGCATCTCTCCAAACCAGTCCAGTCCATTTCAGGGGATCCCGATCCCGACAGAAGGTGCCTGTCGGTCCGAGCCCCTTTCCAAGCAGCTTCGCAGCCATGGCGCCGAGCCCTGCAGTGCTGCGCGGGCCGCGCAAGCCGCATTGGGGCTGCAGCCACTGTGGCCGCGCGGCCAACTGGGCGAGCCGAGTCGCATGCTTGTGCGGCGCCAGCGCGCCGATGTGGGCGGTGGCCGTCGCTCGTGGGGCAGACAAAGCAGCAGCAGCAGGCGCTCCGTCCAAGAGAGTTGGCGGCTCTGGTCTTCGCCCGTCGCCAGCCCCGTGGAGCGCCGAGTTCAAGTGCATTCAGCAGATGGAGCAGCGCCTCAAGGCCACAGAGGCAGAGCTTCGCAAAGTCAAGAGTGGCAACAGTGACAAGTCTCAAGAAGAAGCAGCTGCTGCTCAGGACCCAGCTCAGGCCAAGCGTGCCAAACTTCTCAAGCAGATCGAGGTGCACGAGAAGGTCGCCAGGGGCGCTGCCGAGTTCGGCGGCGGCGTGCACGACGCGAACAAGGCTGCGCTCGAAGATCTTCGGGCCCAGGCTAAAGCGCTGCGCCCCCCCGCCACGGCGCACAAGACAGCGATGCAGTAGCTCGAGAAGTCCAAGCAGCAGCTGGTCAGGCAGCAGAGCGAGCGGGAAGAGTTGCAGCGCAAGATGGCACAGTTACAACAAGATATTTCAGGGAAAGAGAGCGCGATCATCGCCAAGACGTCCGAGGTCAAGATACTGCAGCAGGAGGTCGCCGAGAGCGCGGCCAAGCTCAACCCGCAGCAGCCCTCGACCAATGTCAAGGACGAGGCGCTCGATGAGGAGACGTTCAAGCTGGATGCGGAGAGCGAAGAGGTCAAAGCCGTCCCAGAGCTCGTGGAGTTCTATGCCAAGTTCTCGGCCGACCCCGTTTTCACCAAGTACCAGCAGCTCATTCGCGAGAAGTTCAAGAAGAAGGATGTGCCCATGCCGCAGGCGGAGCAGCAGCAATCTCCACCCGCAGCGGGCACCGACGCCAGCAACAAGCGTGGCACCGACGATGAACTCAACCTGCAGGAAGCTCAAGAATTGTGGAGCGACCTGCAGAGTGACGCAGCCCAAGGTGACGAGGCCACCAAGCTGCTCGAGCTCATCAACAAGCTCAACAAAGCCAAGAGGAGTCGTACTCGCAGCCCTGATCATGGCGCTCCAGGTCAGCGCGCGACTGGCTCCTAACACGTTCACCGCTACCCTCCAAGGTCAATATTTCGACGCAGGAGGAGATAGCACACGCAGTTCCAGTACTGGGCCGACTTCGATGAGCTCGGCTTCGTCAGTTCAGATTCTTGCAGCCTCCGCAATTGGTGGAAGTACTGCAGCTGATGGGTATGGTCAGTCTGATATTGGATGCAGGCCACATGCCAACGATCCCATCACTGGCGCCCCCTGGATCTCGGGGGTCCCTGGGCAGTCCGAGTCGACGGACTCGTCGCCGCAGTCGTTGGAAGCAGCTCATGCAAACTGGCAATCTGGCGCGCAGAATTCGTCTAACGCCAGCCGAGATCGGCTTCCAAGAGTGAGCCGCCTCAGAGTATGTGGTGGTCGCAGTCAGGCTCCTGCTACTCCCGAGAGCGCTCTCCAGATGCATTTGATCGAGACCTTCAACGCCAACAGGGGCGCAATACGTTAAAGAAGCGAGTCAAAGCAAGCAAGGCCAAGATCATCCTGGCCCAAGAGATCTGTTATTTCACACATGACGTGGAGGAGCTCTACAGTTTCGCCGCAAAGATGGGTTGGTCAGTCATCGCACTACCAGGAGCTCCCACAGCAGGTGACCTCCCCACAGCAGGCGTCGCTGTTTTTGCTCGCAATGGGATTGGTCTGCGCTGGCCACCTGCAGCTAACACGTCGGAGATAGTTGCACACAGAGCGCAGCACATTCAAGTGGACGCCCCAGGCTGGCCGACCCTGAGTATAGTTAACATCTACCTCCACACGTGCGAGGGCATGCCAGTCAGGAATGCGACCATTCTCGCCAGAGTTGGAGAAGAGATGGCTGGGCTCACACATCCAGCACTCATTGGAGGTGACTGGAATATGAGCACAGATGTTGTTGAGGAGTCGACCTTTCCACTACCTGCGCATGTGGAGATCACCGCTCCGAAAGAGGCCACCTGCCGCACTCCAACTTCAGCATCTACGATCGACTACTTCGCACTGAGCGAGGCTGCCATGCTTCTTTTTCGTACCGTCACGGTGGACGCCGAGTGGCACACCAAGCCGCACAGGCCAGTTCACCTGCACATGGCGGCAGTAGGCAAGTCCTTGCAAGTTTTGGCCTACGGCGCAGCGCCGAAGTTGTCACCAGTCATCCCTGAAGGCCCTCACTTGCCAGATGATTCCTGGAGTCGGGCTGCCAGGTATGCTGACGAGGCGTTGGTTCTAGCCTAAGAAGCACGGCCAGATGCAGCTTGGGGACTTCTAACGTTGGCATGGGGTCAGTTCGCTGTGCAAGCAGCCCGTCGTATTGCTCATATTACTGGCACAGAGGTCAAATATTACGGCGCATACTCCAAATTCCTACAGCCAAGATGGGTGGACATCCACTATGAGCTGAAGGGCGCTCCTGGTATCCAAGCGCGTGCAGACGGATGGAAATGGCTTGCTGATGTGGTTCCAACAATTGCTCAACTGCGTGAAGGCCGTCAGCCCGAGGAGTTTAACAAGTTGCAGGACGAGGTTCTCATTCTGCAGTCTTCCGCTTACCCTGGGCAAGGCCTAAACCGCAGGTTGGGCGCCAGCGTCGAGCAAGCACGTCGACTCGTCAGCGGTCACTTTCATGCAGGCGCCATACGTGAGTTGCAAGACGAATGGCAGGATGATGTTGGCCAAGCCTTTCAGGAAGCCGACAGAGACAGTAAAGCGAGATGGAAAGATTGGTGTCGTCAAGCCAGCGCTGGAGGACTTCGAGGCCTTCACAGACTGACACAAGTTCGACAAGTACAGGCTCCCACCACAGTTATAACTAGCGCTGGGAAGTATTCAGCTCATCCTCATGATGTCGTTGCTGCCATGGAAGCTGAATACAAATCGATATGGCGAAGCTCCACGGAGGCCCCTAGAGCTTGGATTCCCGACAGAAGCTCTCATCGACGAGCGGAACCTGAAGACACCCGCAGAGCCGCTCGCGCTTTTCCAAGCACCACGTCGGCGGGCCTCGACGGACTTCATCCTCGACACCTGTTGCATCTCAGTGGCGATGCATTGAGAGTGCTAGCAGTTCTGTACGAAGCCATGGAATCACTTGGGATGCTTCCCAAGCAATTGGTATGGATTATCATGCCTATGTTGCCAACGCCTCAGGGAGACCACCGTCTCATTATCTTGTACGCGTCGGCCTACCGCGTTTGGCAAAGGATGAGAATTTGCGAATATGATGAGTTGATGAAGGTGTTGGACAGGAAATACTGGGGCGCTGGCAAAGGCCGTAGTCCAATCGACAGTGCATGGAAGCTAGCAGCTCGAACGGAAGCCAGCACAGCCTCAGATCGGTTTTCTGTCACGCTCATAGCAGATTATTCGAAGTATTACGAGAACATCGGGTTGAAGCAGCTGCGGCAGAAGTTTATTCGCTTCGGAGCGGCCACGGCATCAGTCAAGCTCACCTACAACACCTGGCGTGCGCCAAGACTGATCCGACTGCTGCAGCATCACGGCAATCAACCTGGACATGCAGAGTACGGTATTCCTGCTGGCTGCGGGGTGGCTGGCATAGCCATCAAAGTGCACGCAGTCGAGCAGTACGATTATTATGTGGCGCTCCATCCCTTAGTCGACTTCGCCAGCTACATAGACGACTCGAGCATGGGAGTCGAAAGTGCTGACAGGTCCTCAGTCATCTCCCTCGCGGTCGAAGCTGGCAAAGGTTTCTTGGAGACGGCCGCTGCACTTGGAGCCGCAATCAATGAGAAGTTCGCAGTCCTCGCCAACACGAGAGATCTGGCCGAGGAAGTTGCTATCCAGCTCGGTTTTTCGGCAGACAAGGCTGTCACAGCGACCACCTATCTTGGCACGGATAAGGCAGCAGGCAGAGTTCGTGTGGCACCGAGAACCCGAGCGAAGATGTCCAAGCGCAAGGCCAAGCACCGTCTGCGTTATCTCAAGCTGGGACGGTACACGAGGGCCTCGCCTGAGCTTAAAGAACAAAGGTTTGGCAAAGTTTTTCGCGCTGGCGCCAGGCCAGCGCTAACTTACGGAGTGGAGATATTGGGTCTTGTCAACGCTGAGTTATTGCAGCTGCGGCGTGATTACTGCAGGCAGGCCAAACCATTCCACGGAGGCGTTTCGATCACAGCAAAGCTGGTATTAGACGGCGACCCCGCATTGCGTCAGGCTGTGGCACCAGCGTTGCAATGGAGTCGAATGGTCTGGATGGCAGTATCGCAGCCAGACACAGCAGTTGTATCCCTGCAGGTGCTCAAGTCATGGTGGGGCAAGGCCTTACTCCACCTTGATGTTGCAGCACTGGAATGGAAGCAATCGAGAGGTCCCCTGGTTCGCGCAGCACTGTGTGTACGCAGAGTTGGTTGTTCAGTTCAGTCAAGTACAGTTTGGAAAGATCACCGAGGAGCTGACATACCATTGGAGCAGCTCACGCCAGGCATTCTCGAGGATCTCATGGCCAAAGCCATGCAGCGTCAACTTGAGATGACCTTGGCAGACGCATGGGGGGCGCCTCCAGGATCCCGCGTTTCATTTGATCTGGTTCGTGCAGCAGTTCGGCCCAAGAGCCGTCGTCTCAATATGCATCAGAAATTTCTTGTTCGTACATCGGCGGTGGAAGGCCATTGGACCAAGGCGCGTGCACGTCCCAGAGGATACCAAACTGATGGTCGCTGCAAGTGTGGAGCATCAGATACGGTTCACCACAGGCTGGTTGTTTGTTCCTTGCCAGAGGTGATTGCAGCTAGAGCCGAATCCGAGGTGCCAGCATTTTTTACCCAAGCTGGTTGTGATCATCCAGACGAGAGATGCTTCACCCATGGCTGTTTCATCTGCGAGGACAGCGACATCCCAGAGCTCGATCCAGGTGTTGAGGCGCATTTAGTCACTCCTCAGGGCGAAGATATTGATGCTGAGCCTGAGCAATTAGCCGAGCAGCTTGTACAAGGTGACAAGTTGGAATTCGCAGTTGATGGATCCTGCAGCAAGCCTTCACTGGTCACTCTTCAGAGAGCTGGGTGGGCTGTGGTGCTGATGAACCCTACGGCTGACACACCAGTTGCAGTCATGTACGGCGCGGTCCCCAGAGCCATGCCCCAGTCGTCAGCGATGGCGGAGTTCCTTAGCATGGCTTTCGTTGGGCAGATCGCCGACCGACCGTCCACGGTATATGCAGATTTCATGGCAGTGGTGAAGGCGGCACTGAAGTCGAAGCAGGAACAGTTGCAGGCCAAGTCAATGTACTCGTGCGTGCAGTTCTTCGGCCACCAGATGCGCGGCTACGACAACATCCAGAGCGTCCGCCACGTCAAGGCCCGCAAGTCTGGCGAGCAGTACCAGGCGCCCTCGGACGAGGATAGGCGGATCACGGACGCCAGCGTGGTCGCCGATGTGTTCGCCAAAAAAGCTGCGCTCTTGCACCCATCTGCATCTCCTGAGTTCCTTGTGAGAGTAGAGGAAGCTTGCACCCAGGCCAATCACTTTGTGAAGTTGTGTGTCCACGTTCTCCCGTGTGTCGAGCTTGAGGAGAGGTTTTCCAGGCTCCCTGTGTTCGAGCGGTCGAGGCACACTATGAAAGACAACTGGCATGACTGGTGCAGAACATCTATCGGCACTCAGTGTAGGAATTGTCTCAGCGTTCTGGAGCCTGGGCGTGACAGGCCCATGCTGGGCTGCAGAGGGTTGCCCCAGTTTTTGCGAGATGTCAGGCAAAATCCCCTGGGCCACCAGTTGGTTGCTGTTTCCCAGGGGGGCGTGTCCAGCTGGAGCTGCGCGGGGCCTGCCTGCGCAGCTCCAGTTTTTGTTTGTTATTTGTGTGGGGCCTGGGCTCAGCAGCGTCGCAAAGACAAGCTTCGCTCCCCTTGCGTGAAGCCTACGGCTAAGGGTGAAGAAGTGCTGCGAAATCTCAGGAAGGGGGGTCGGTCCGCATAAGCGGCTGGCCAGACGCATCGATTCCGTTGCGCCTCTTCAGAGAGTCGCCCTCGACAGTGCCCAGCCCTCTTCGAGTTCCACAAGCGTCACTCGATCGAATCCCGATTCTGTCCTGTCCTACGAGGTTCGCATGGCAGCATTGCATGCCCGAATCAAGGCAAAGGAGGAGGCTGCCCGAGGCACAACCCCCTCCCGATAGAGCGGCGGCCGCTCGCTGCTCGACCAGATCCAGGCGGGCGCGCGCGCGCCCGTTGCTGTCAAGCAGTCATGTGACAAGGTACTCTTGCAGTCATTTAGTCATTTAGTCCTCCTCCTCCTCCTCCTCCTCCTCCTCCTCCTCCCCCGCTAGCTTAAAACTGCCACCGAAATATCCTCGCTCGTTGGCTTAAAACTGCCACCGAAATATCCTCACCTGCTGACTTAAAACTGCCACCGAAATATGCTCACCCACTGACTTAAAACTGCCACCGAAATATCCTCACCCGCTGGCTTAAAACTGCCACCGAAATATCCTCACCCACTGGCTAAAAACTGCCACCGATATATCCTCACCCGCTGGCTCAAGACTGCCACCGAAATATCCTGACCCGCGGAAATAAAACTGCCTCCGAAATATCCTCACTCGCTGGTTTGAAATTGCCACCGACATATCCTCACCCGCTGGCTTAAAACTGCCACCGAAATATCCTCACCCCTTGGCTGAAAGCTGCCGCCGAAGTATCCTCATCCACTGGCTGGGCACTGCCACCGATACCCTTGCCCGCGGAAGTAAAACTGCCACCGAAATATCCTCACATATACTAAAATAGCATCCTATAGCGACACTAAAAACACATATTGGTTCGCAATCATCATAGTGGGGCCGGGGCTGAGCCCAGGGCCGGGACCGGGGTTGGGACCGGTTCCGGGGCCGGGACCTGGGGCTGGGGCCGGAGCTAGGGCCGGAGCTTGGGCCGGGGCAAGGATTGAGGCTGGGGCCAGCGTCGGCGAGCACTAAATGCGTCGGAAACGGCGTCGCCCCCCCTCCCTTTCAGAGCGAAGCTTGAGCGAGCTCAAGCTCGCGCTCTCAGAAACTCATGCCGTATCGGCGGATCGGACAACTATAAATGTTCCCACCTTTTCACCAACTTTGACCCAACTGACCTCTCGCGCGAGCATGCCGACATTACTCGAGCGGCCAGATGCGCGTGCTGGGGACCGCGCGATCTCTGTCAAACAGTACCATGCGATCCGTTCGCGCCCGTCGTCCGCGAACGCATGTTGAAATCTTTCCGAAGCCTTCATCACCGACGCGTGCACGGCATCGCCGTCATCGGCGAGATCAGCATCGGCGCCGTCATTGGCTCCACCGTCGTCGTCGTCTTTTTCGTCACCTGCACTGGTACTATCATCATCGCGGTTTCCGTTGTCGACGTCAACATGATACCGCACCCGCGCGTCAGCGCAGCTTGTGTGACGCGCTCGGAAATGCCCAGCGGTCAGCGCCACCGCGGCCGCGTCGGTCGCGCCAGACTAGCTGGCTGCTCTGCGCGCGAGCCTGCGCGCGCTAGCCTGGCCGCGGCGATGCGCAGACCAGCGCCAAATAGTCATGGCAATCGCCGCCCCATGGGTTCTGCAAGCCAAAATGCGGGCGGGTTGGTGGGATGATTGCCGAGTAATGGAATTAACAATTTCAGGTCCGGCAGGGTGGGAATGCATTGCGCACACTGCACCTAGATCATTCGATTTCTGTTTGTTATACAAAAATATCACACGCACGCGCGCGCACGCACGCACGCACGCACGCACGCACGCACGCACGCACGCACGCACGCACGCACGCGCACACACACACACACACACACACACACACCACACACACACACACACCCGCGCACCCGCGCACCCGCGCACCCGCACACCCGCACACCCGCACACCCGCACACCCGCACACCCGCACACCCGCACATCCGCACACCCGCACACCCGCACACCCGCACACCCGCACACGCACACGCACACGCACGCGCACGCACGCACGCACGCACGCGCACGCGCACGCGCGCGCGCGCGCGCACACACACACACACACACACACACACACGCACCCCCAGTTATATCGGTCCAGCGGCCGGGTACGCAATGTACATACGATTCTGACCCCCCGTGCGTTCGAATTGCGAGCCTAAACCATCCCAGCCATGCCCGCGCGTCTTCGCGCGCGCATGCCAGAGTGTTCAAACACTTGAAATTTGCGGAAGGTGTTCACAACATATTTGTTTAAAAGACAGTTGTGTTGAACATGGTTTCTCGAAAACATGGTTTCTCGAAAAACAGGTATGCGCGCGCTCGTCATAATTATGGAGAGCCGCTTACGCAGCGTGTTCATTTAATCCGACCGAACGGGCCTTTCGCGCGCATGTCGAGATCATTCGAACGCCTTTGCGCGCGTGCTGGGGGGAGCACGATCCCTGTCAAAATAGAATATGCGACCCATTCGCGCCCGTCGTCCGCGAACGCATGTCGAAATCTTTCGGGGACCTTCATCACCGACGCGCGTACACCGTCACTGCCACCGGAGATCAGCATTGGCGCCGTCATTGGTGTTACCGTCGTCATCGTCTTCTTCGTCACCCGCGTCGGTACTACCATCATCGCGAAGCCGCTCGTCGGCGCGGCCTGTGTGACGCGCTGGGAAGTGCCCGGCGGTCAGCGCTACCGCGTCCGCGTTTGCCGCGCCAGATCTGCTGGCCGCTCGGCGCGCGAACCTGCTTGCGCTAGCGCGATTGCAGCAGTGCGCCAGACAGCGCAAAGTGAGCAGTGGAGTTGAGAATTCCAAATCGGGCAGGGCGAATTACATCACATAGACGCACACCACATGGATTGCACCACAGACATTGCATTGCATAGTTCGCATCCCCAACTTTCGCTCCACACATGGCATTGAATAGCTTACACCACGTAGATCACACCGCATAGATCAGCACGCTCGCTCCCACCGCAGGCGCTGCACCACGTTTCTTACAACATGTAGTTCATACCACACAGGCTGCACCACAAAACACGCACCACATAACTTACGCCACAGAGTTTGCACAACGCAGATTGCACCACATGGTGAACACCAGATGTATTGCACCAAAATGTATATTTGCTCTCAGCACTCGGTTTGAAATTCACGTTGGCCAACATTTGTAAGGAAACCGAATGGAAGAGGCAGGGGATGATGATGATTATGATGAGTATGATGATGAGGGGGAGGAGAACCACTGCAAACCCAATATTTATCTACGATGTTGGAATAACCCCCCCGTCCAAATTACCTTTTCATAGGCCCATACAAAGGATTCATTTCCATTGAGGGAAATGTCCCGTTGGGAGACACCGTTTGAACATCCTGCGACCGACCATCATTCTAGATATATCAACGCGAATCAACCTGACTGGTGCGTCATGACGATCCTGAGTCGTCTCGAAACACCATTCCTGGGATTGCAACGCTGCGAATCAACGTATGTTTTGTGACCTGGCAATCCTGAACTGCTCCAGTATGTAATTCATGGCACATTGACCATGGGAATCCGTGAAACGCTTCCACATGTTTAAAACGAGCGCGCGCGGCGGCGCTAAGGCGAGAGAGGGATGTTGAACAATAGTTGCTTTCAGCCCGTGAAAATTATGCAAAGGTTTGAGACGAGCGCGCGCGGAGTTAAGGCGAGAACCATGTTTTGAAAACCACCCGCATTCAATCCGCGAGAGTCCTGTCATTCTTTGAAACACAAATGAATGCGCGCGGCGCTGATGCGAGAGCCGCATCTTGAACACCACTCGCCTTAAATCCGCGACATGTTTGTATTTAGTTTAAACGGATGTGCGCGGCGCTCAAACGAGAACCACAGTTCGAACACGACCCGCTGTCGATCCGGAAAACATGTGCCGCTTTGAAATACGAATGCGCACGGGACTGAAACGAAAACCACATATTGAAAACCACCCGTTGCCAATCCGTGAAACGCTTGCAAGTTGTTAGGACGAGTGTGCGTGGCGTTGAGGCGAGAATCACATTTTGGAAGCGACCCGCTCCCAATTGCCAAGTTTCAGGATCATAAGTGGTAAGGGAGTCTCTGGCGAAACGCCCAGCCCGCCCTTCCGACTTGCCCCGGGTAAGGAAAAATAATTTAGGAAGAGACGTAAGAGGAGAGTCAGGAGGATCGGGCTGCGTCACCAGAACCAAGCCCCCGCAGCTTCGAGGCTCGGAGAGGGAGAGGAAGGTAGTGGAGGAGGAGGAGGAGGAGGAGGACGACGACGACGGGGCGGGGTGGGGGAGGGGCAGGGAGAAGGAGGAGGATGAAGATGGAGGAGGAGCAATCGAGAGGAAAGCGAGGAAGAGCAGGACGAGGGGGAGCAGGGTGGGACAGCGTGCGCGCCCAGAGGGGTGTTCCCCGCCGGATTTTCTAAGGGGGGGGGAATCGCGGGCTCGGGTGCCCTCGCGCCGCCAGGGGGCCGGCGACGGCACCGCGTGCGGGGGCCCAGAAGGCGCCTTCTGCTCTCTGCTCCGCAAGCTTCGCGGGGCCGGCGGGCCGGCCAGGGCCGCCTGAGATCGCCAGGGCCGGCGGGGGGCGGGATCGGCGGGGCAGCCTCGACCGCATGCCCTTCGCGCCAGGACAGGCGGGAAGGATCGTATCGGACGAGGGGGGGAATGGGAAGGGGGGTTCTCGATGCAGCATGCAAGGGAGGAGCGGGAAAGAGAACGGGGGGTACAGAATCTGCTGCATGCAGCCCGTCTGGCGCTTTCTTCTACACTTTGGCGCTTTCATCGGCGGGGGGGGCGTATGGAAAAGCAGCGGCATGCGATTGATTCGATAACCCTCCTTTTGCTATTTTGCCTCCTCCTTTTTCGCCCGCTCCGAAAGGAGTGTGAGGGAGGGGAGGGTGATGCAGGGAGGGAGGGGAAGAGACGGAGCGAGGCAGGGAGGGGGTCTTGGGATGCATGTTGGTAGGTGAGGAGGGATGCGCAAGGAGGGGGGAGGTTGGGAGGGAGAAGGAGAGGGAGCGAGGCGGATGGGGAACAGGATGGAAGCGAGGGTGCGAGGCAGGGAAGGAGGGAGGAAGGGAACTGATTGAGGGAGGGGAGAGGAAGGCTTGTGGGTACCAGCGCATGCTTGTTCAACAACGGGTGCGCAGAATACAACATATGACCATTCCTTGTCGCTAATCTCGGACTCCACGTCGCCCTCCTCTGGGCAGCTCTCGGCGACGGCAGTCAGGTAGTTCACCATCTCGGCTCGTGAGGCCGGAAGGAGCCACAGCGGGCCACATCGGGGTGGGACCCCGAGGACCGCTCTCAGGAGGTAGTTGACCGCCTCGGCAAGCCGCAACTCCCAAGATGAGATTATTGAGGCCAAGCTGCGGCCTCCACGTCGGGTGCGGCCACCCCTGACCACCATGGGGGTTGGAAGAAGAGCATGTTTTCCTCAGCCTCGAACTTGAGCCAAACATCAACACACACACACACCTATATTGAGAGCCACTCGCATGCAGGCGTGGGTTCGCACCGCATTCGAGTGGCCCTCCGCTCCCAAGTTCATGCAGGCGTGGGGTCGCACCGCAGTCCGCTCAGAGCTGCGCGCGCCGCTATGCTACACTGCTGTTGATTGTGGTTTGGTTGTATAGCACAGAACGTTGTCCTAAGCACTGGCCAATGATTCTGACCAGAATGCGGGCAACGTTTTCTGGTCACCTGGCCCCTTTGGGCCCCGCGGCGTTGTCCCGGCCGCGTGGCCGATGACGTCACAGCATGAACTCGTCAGACCCCTTGGTTCTACTTTGTTGCGTCCCACATCGGCGGATGGTCGTCCAGACCGTTACGAGCCGAACTGCAAGCGACGCAAGTTGTGGGACGCCAGGATTGTGGACTAGAATCAGGCGATCGCAAACATGGATCAAGGGGGCGTGGATTAGCGACGGGTCCCGCTTCCATGGGAAATCGAAGATTTCCGCCGCCGAGCGAGGCGGCACCGGCCACATTTTGGGGAGGGGACCTCCCCGAATCCATGGGTTTGGCGACCGCGCGCCCAATCCATGGATTGCTAATCAATGTTTGCGCGCCCCCGATAGAAGCAAAACAGGCAGTAGATGCATCGGTGCCGTTTTGCGGTCGGCACGCAAAGCAAAGAGGACACCGAATAGGTTTGACGCCGATCTGATGTGCAGGCACCCCGGCAACAGACGGAGGGGAGGGGGGGAAAGGAATGAGAGGGATGGGTGGGGCGGAAAGAAGGGAAGGAGGGAGGGGGCAGAAACAGTTCCAGGACGGGAGAGGAGGAGAAGAGGAGAGGGGAATCCAGTCAGGAACGAATACGTAGCAAAAGGATTTCAAGAAATAGATCGCACAGACTAGTTTGTGTGTTAACTTCTTTTGGTCCATCGTGCGGGCTCCCAAAAACGAATTCCCAGGGGTTAAAAAGAGGGGAAAAGTGTGTCGACACAGCTTGTGCTATCTTTTCCTTGGACGGGTCTGTGCTATCTTCCTCCAGGGGAGGGGAGGGACGCGCGCAGATAGCACAAGCTGGATGGCAGAGGAGGTCAATCCCAAGCACGCGAAAAATGCACAACATGGATTGTAACATACACAGGGTCGTCACAGTTCTCACATCATATGCACCGCAGTCTACACATGTTTGACACATCTCTTACACAGCAAAGCCAATACGGCTCAGGCGGCTCGAAACATGGGGTTGGGAAAAAAGGGATTCGCGTGTTCAGTTGACGAGGACATGGAGGATGAGGAGGATTAGGAGGAGGTAGAGGGAAAGGATGACGAGGAAAGAGAGGGGCTGGAGGAGTGGGGAGGAGGGATGATAAGGGAGCGACGAGAGGGAGGGATGAGGACGAGGAGGCGTAGGAGGAGAGAAGGGAGAGGGGGGGGGGAGATGGAGTTGGGGGAGGAGGACGGGACGATGTCGATGATGACGACGACAACGACGATGACACACTCTTCCACACCTGTCAAGGTGATCTTCGGTTTCGATGTCTGGAAGCTGTCAGGCTCCTGGGGCCTGGATGTGCTATCTATCCATGGTGTATCATTCCTCGACCCTCCCGAATCGGATCGGCGGAAATCGGGTGCCAAGTCGGGAGAGGTCGAATCGGCGGAAATTGGTCGAATCGGCGGAAATTGGTAGGCTAGTATGGCCCCCATTGAGAAACCGACTGCCAAATCGAACTCCGAAGTCGAACCGAATCGGGATCGGAATCGATCGAAATCGAATCGAGCCGGAGGAGTCGAAATGGGCCCTGAAGTGGTACAGTGGCGCCATCCGCCCGGCGGCTCCCAGAGCGTCCCGAACACGCGCTATGTCAAGCCGCTGTCCGACGACGACCCCCCTCAAAAAGCCCAGGTAAGGCCCTCAGCTGGAGGCATCCCTCACTATTCAAATGCCATGAAGGAACGAACAACTCTTTGTTGTTCATGCGCTGTTGAAGCCATCCGCGACTCTCAATAATCGAAACTGGATTCATTGAGCAGCGAGCCAGGGTAGCAATCGACAGCTAAAATACGAAGCCTAAGATTGAGGGCAGCAGCGAGCCAGGGCACTAACCTGCCGAGTTTCAGCCAACGGGCTCCTGGGGCCTGTGTGTGTTATCCTGCTCCTGATTAATCCGTCCTCGAACCGCCTTTCCTGCGTGTGCTATCTAATCGCTTCGTGTGCAGTTTCCAGAAGGATTGCAATGAGGGAAATACCCGCCACGTAAAATATCGTATGACGATTCGAGTGTGTTGCAACAGGGTCTAAAACACGCGGATGGAACGCCCGATGCCATCCTTCGCGTATAATCTCGTATCGAATCCGCCGTTCGTTGCAACAGCATGCAACCAAAGTGGCCCGAAGACCAATGGATAATCACATTCTCGCAATCCGCCGCGCATTTAAAGCGTGCATGTTCGATGTGTGTTTTCAGAAAGTTGCCTTTTTCCGAGGGCTTGGGTGAACAGACGACTCACCTGGGGAAAACGTGGGAGACCACCGGAGATAGCACAGGCGGGATCGAGATCGGAGATTTGGGGGTGCGAACGGAAGTGACCCCAACCGGGAAATCGGTTTCGGTTTCGGTTCGAGTCGTGCGTGCGGGCGAGGCGAAGTTGCGCGGGTTCCTGCACTGGTAGGGGACATCTATTGCCAACAGGGCCGATCCCAGAGCGCCGGGCGTGGCCCCCGGTTGTCCCGGCGGTTGTCCCGATGGTTGTGGTTGTCCCGATGGTTGCCCCGATGGTTGGTTGTCCCGATGGTTGTCCCGACGGTTGAGAGATAGATAGATGTCGTTAGATGTTGTCCCGATGTCCCGATGGTTGCCCCGATGCTTGTCCCGATGTTTGTCCCGATGCTTGTCCCGATGCTTGTCCCGATGGTTGATAGATAGATGGGTGTATATATATGTACACAGATAATTGACATACATACTTCTATATATATAAGTATATATGTATATATTGGTGTATGTATATTTTTATGTATACAAACATACTTACATGTATAGATATGTATATATATGCAAGTATACATACATACTATATATATAGAGTTGGAGAGACGTTTATATATAGGTGTATGTTTATTGGTTGATTGATTGATTGATTGGTCGACTGATAGACTGATATGTTTATATATATATAAACATATCTAGGTATCCGTAAAGCTTCGCCCCGTGCCGCCGGCCCCCTGTCTCGGATAATGGGAGATGCAACAGCTAAATCATGAGGTCTGGGCGCCGCCGTGAAGCAGTGTCGGGACCTGTTTGTTTTTCGACCCTGACCCTACGGATCTGCGTCACGGGTGCCACCGAATTTTTCACAGATGTGGCAAATCCCTTTTGTTTTTTCACCTTGGCCCTACGGATCTGCGTCACGGGTGCCACCGAATTTCAGAAATGTGGCAAATCCATTTTGTTTTTGGACCTTGACCCTACGGATCTGCGTAGAGGGTGCCGCCGAATTGTAGAACTGTGGCAAATCCCTTGTGTTTTTGGACCCTGACCCTGCCGATCTGCGTGAGGGGTGCCGCCGGATTGCAAGAATGTGGCAAATCTTTTTTTGGTGTTTTTGGACCCCAACCCCGCCGATCTGCGTGAGGGGTGCCGCCGAATTCTAGAAATGTGGCAAATCCCTTATGGTTTTGGACCCTGACCCCGCCGATCTGCGTGAGGGGTGTCACCGAATTTCAGAAATGTGGCAAATCCCAAATGTTTTTGGACCCTGACCCCGCCGATCTGTGTAAGGGGTGCCACCGATGTTTTAGAAGTATGGCCAATCCCCTTTGGTTTGTTACCCTGACCCCGCCGATCTACGTGAGGGGTGTTAATTTTTACCCACCCCAGCAATTCAGAGCACACGCTCAGGGCGTGGTAAAAATGCCTGTTTAGGGCCTCCCCCCTCGCGCGGTCCATCAACAAGGTTTAGTAAGCAGCAAGAAGCAGAACTGTAACAGTGGAAACTGGAAGCTGCAACTGGTACAGGAAACTGCGAACCTTCGCCCTAC